CTCACGGTCGGCTGCAGCCTGCAATACAAACTGCAAAACTGAAACACATCCTAACAAAGCCAAAACGGCCATTAATAAACAAACAACCAAAACCCATAGAAACTAGGCTAAGAAATGGCAACGGGCAAGTCGGGAACGGGTATTTCGGTATTCATATTTCACCGATGACATTCGTGACACGCCGAGTATTTTATTCAGTGACACAGTCGAAGCAGATAAAATTCTTACATAGTCGAAGTAGATAAAATACATACACGTATGATTTTTTTAAGGAAAAAACATTTGACATCCATTTTATTTTTCCGTTAAAAGTTTGAGAAACTAACTATGACATGATGATAATAAATGAAGTAAAATTATTCGAGAAAATGAAGATTCATTCCTAATCTCAACTAAACACAACTTCATAATAGATAAAAACATGTTGTGATAAAAATAAATTCTTAATTAGCTTGAGTAAAATTACATATAAGTTGGACAAAATTGGTCGAGAATGGAGCGTATCTGAGCGTGCTATGTCAAAGCAAGTACTCGTGTCCCTTCCCGCCTACAAAACATTATCTAATATTTGTTCAAAATAAGTCAAACACGACAAATCAGACCGAAATTGTCATCCATACATCATTGCGTGTGCCGGTCCCCTGACTCCCTTCCATCCCTTTCTTTGTATTCTCGTCCGCCAAACATGAAACATGACAAAACTTACATACATGCTCTTGTCATTTGTGATTCTACGCATGATTGTGTCTGTCTCCCCTCCCCTTGTTCTTATCTTTTCATTTGTGAACTATAAAATTTACAGCTAAATAGCCATTGAAATTATACAATCCTAAGAAAATGGAATGTGACATTTTCTTGAGAGATTTGGGAGAGTTATTACAATCTACTTAAGAAGATTGTCCATGTCTATTTATGGCTCGTTTAGTTCAACACATTCATTAATTATAGCATTACTTTAGAGTTACATTCATTTGATTGACGGAAAAAAAAACAAAATTTTTGAGTTTTACCCACTATTATTCCGGTCTGATTCCAGGAATCGAGTCTGGTCCTGATTCAGGCCGATATCATTGTTTCTGAGCTGCAAAACCCTGTAAATATCTCTGGGCGAACCAAAAAGTCCAAAAAAAAAAAAAAACGAGGAGACAGAAAAAGAGCCTCGAGGAAGAAAATCTCGGAGGATCTTCCTTGTAACTCTACAATCAATCTGGGCCGTACACGTCGCATTGTCAGACTAACGGCTCTGCGCATCAGCAGCTGGGAAGCCCGCGGCGGATCTTGATTGGGCCAAAATCGGGCCTGGTCCCATCTATGCAAATGGGGCGATGAAGCGGCGGTGGTCCACATCTTAGCCCAGCTCAGCCCATCACTGTTTCCCAGATACGTGGGCCCCACCTGATTATACTGCATTATTTGCGTCTGCTGATTTGGACTCCTCCCCCCCACTCCCTGCCCGTGATGTGGGCCCGCCGCAAAGCCCAAGTGGATAAGTGTGAGTGAATAAGGGTATGAATGGAAATTCAAATTCCTGTTCCCACCTCATTGGGCTTCCACGTCACTGATCCGCAACCCAAAGCTGTGTGTATATTGCTTACGTGGACTTCGTGTGGTCTGAGTCAGAGACGGGAAAAATTCCACGTCAGGCACAGCTAAATTTAGCATTCATTTCTTTTTTCTTGGAGTTGGGAAGCTAAGCTATAAATTAGTTGCGGCAATTTAGGCATATGCATGATACAAGTTGAGTCAGTTGACTATACGTCTACCATTTCCTTGTGAACTTATGATTATCCTACCAGGCCAAATCCGAATTTCACACTACGAAATGAATCATAAAATCTTCGGCCTCGAGCACTTTCGAAACTACCATAGCATCTGATGTTAATCTCTACATATTCGAATTGCTCTTTCTCGCTAGTTTCAAATAACTGTAGGTGGAACATCTGACGTGTGAGTGATGAATATAAGAATTTTAGTCATCCCATCCGGACACATCTTTAATATACAGGTGGTCTTCCATCAAATTTGCGCGGATAATCGGAAACGTTTAGCTCATTTCTTGGCAAATTATATATTCTTTCACGAGGATGCAATTGGTCAGCCACGTGCATGAATTTGCAAGCTTACACGAACTTGCTACATCTTCGCGTACTTATATCAACTGTGTTCATGTTGAGGGTTTCAAACAGGAGATCATCTCTCAAATCAAATATTCCAATAACATGTGCAAGAACCATCTGATCACAACCTCTTCCACTCTCGATATGGAAGTGAACATTTGGCCATTGATGTCCATATGCTTGCTCTACACAATTCAATGTAAACCTACAATTGGGGCCAGTGGGGGCAGTACTGATCTGCTAAGGGCGATGGAGACATCATCATTCATCAGTGTGCATAAATTGCATGTGTTTGCAATGAGAATCGACCGGTGAAAGAGACGATTTTAGCTTGCTATATCATCATCATATATATATATATATATATGGCACAATCATTGTCACATTGAGTACAGGAAGCAACATGTATTCTTGTTTAGCTGAATTGCTCACTGCTTGAAGGTGACTAAAAAGTGATGGCTCATCCTTCTTCGATATTGCATTCATATGGTGTCAGCTCTGGATCTAGCGTTCAAATTATATATACATAGCAGTTTCTAACTAGGACGGCTAATTGGACTGTCCGCCACGTAGTGTCACGGAAAGTCCTTTCTCTATTTTGTCTGATATATTGTTTTTATTTGATATTGTAGCTTGAGTTGAGAGGCGTGCTTCTCATTTGATCCAGTAACCTATATGATACATAATTAGGTTAAACGAGTCCATCTGATCCACCTTCATTTTATTTTTTTACCAAGAGAATTACCCGACATGACCCACGACGATCAACGAGAAACGTTGTGTGATTGAACCTGCCGCGCCTCAACCTCACTGCCATGACATTTTGCAGGGGATATCATTCTTTTACATCCTGTCCACCATTATTGTAATTTGTAAAGCTTTTGGCAAGGTTGTTAAAAACTGTAAGATGTAAGATGGGTGGGAAAAGGGGAACAAGCTAGGCAAATAATTAAGCATGGTAATAACTGAAGTGTTGTTGGAGGACGAGGATACAGCGATTCATGGAGCTGGCTTTTGGGCAACTGAACAATAACAATGCGCTTCGCTTGCCCCTCTCTATTTTTTACTTCAAGCAAATAAAGTTAGAGACATTTGAGAACTTACAAATAAACATACTCAATGTGTGACAAAGCGATATACCGATCCATACCATATAATAACATATCAGAATTAGACCCGACAATATCGGGAACGAATATGAATATCGAGTACCCACACTCACCTCACCATTCCCATTCATACTCGGAATACATGTTGTATACTCTATGGGTTCGATGTTCCGTGGTATACATGTGGGGACATGGGAAATAGGGATGTCAATTACCCATTCATGGGAAATTACACCCAAAACCCCAAGTAGACCCATTCATAATGGGTTGGATATGAGTGAAGTATATATCGGTTTGGGGGTTTGTAGATGGGTTTGGGTAAGGTATGAATATTGTTTCCATAATCTAAATGAGTATGAGTTGGATATGGATATCCATTTACTTTTTTTTGAATCGAGGATATCCATTTACTTGAGGGTGTTTTAACTACACATACAAAAATTGGATCTATTTGTAAAACTTGAAAAATTTAGGTGCCAAAATGTAATTTTCCATCGATGTTTTGAGGACTTCTATGCAAAATAAAAAATTAAATTTAGGTATTAAATATGCGTATCTATTAAGTTTAGGAACCAAAATGTAATTTGCATTTGGGCATGGGTACAAACCCGAATCCATTTGTTATAAACCCAACCCAACCCAAGTAAATGAGTATGAGTACAAATCCATTAAACTCTACCCATATCCATCCATTTGGATTTCATACCCAACCCAATCAGACACAACACATCACCACCAGAAAACAGAGTCGTGCATTAATGAACAGAGGAATTCGATGGCTTGCTACTTCAAGCAAGCAACTTCCACCAACGAGACACTGTTTCTGCTACTGAAACTCTTTATCGAAATGTTTTGTCATTTTTCGATGTTGTCGCTCGTGTTCGACCTTTCAATTACATCGTATTGGCCGATAACTCGAAGGTATAAATTGCCATTCCTAATGGGAAAGAGTAGTTGGTATTTTGGATCACTAATGGCTACCTAGAAGAATGTACAATGAATTATTATGTCCCCGCCGCCCACACCTTAAGATTGCAGATACAGCCGGGACACGCACCTCTTGTGGCTTTCATTATACAATCATAATAATGGCTGCACTCTCTGCAATCTCCATTTCCTCCGGCAAGCGCTTCTCGCTGCTGCAGCAGCAGCAGCTTTCTCAAATACCCTTACCTAATAACCTAAAAATAATGTCAACTGCCATCTCACATTACATAACTCGTGAGGCCATTGGGTCCCCTCTCTCTCTCTATCAATGCATATCTGTGATGGATTTGGTGGTGATCGGAAAACTTGTTAAGTCGTTAAAAGAAGTCATTGCTTATGCGGAAAACCGTTTCGTTTTAAAATGAACTCTTTTTTCGATTAGGATTAATGAGGTCAGGTTGGCATATCGGATTCGGTTTTCGGTTAAAGCAAGGAATTTCAACTCGTAATTAATTTCAGGTATTATTTTCGAAACCATAACGTTCTAACGGGGTTTTTTAACAGAGGAATTGATAAGAAACCGTTAACCGTGTTCAAAAAAACCCATTAAATTTCAAGTTGAAAAAATAGATGTCCTTATTGAATTTTTTGCTTTGCACCCACCGCCCCAGCAAAACATTTTCCACAACTAGGCCCATGTGAGACACCGGGCCTGCCTCTCTCCAGCAAAAACGAAACAGGTAGGCCGACTTTCTGGGCTCTGCTTCATTAGTTGGGCCCTTTTCCGAAGTTGGCCGAATAAGCAATCCTATTCGGAGAAGCCCACACAACGTGTACTCTGGCCCAACCCAATTCCAACTGAGAGGGAGGCTTGAGTCAAACTCGGCGAGAAAGAAAAGCCCAGAAAGAAGCAGCGGCGGGCAGACCAGCGATGGAGAAGGCGGTGGCGGTGTGCGGCCAAGCAGCGGTGGATCTGCTCAACTGCGTGGCGGAATCGCCATACGACAATGACAAATGCCTCCGCCTCTTGCAGGCCTTGCGAGATTGTGCCGTGAAGCAGGTAAAACGAAACAAACGTCGATTCGATTTTGCCCATTTTTGTTCGATCTTTTTCTCTGCCGTCGTTGGATGTTTTGTGCCTGTAAAATTGGGTCCTCTGCTGTTTTGGCAGCTGGTATAGTCGAAGGTGCCCTGTGTTTGGGAATTAGTACAATCTGCAATTTTATTAAAGAGAGCACTAGGGGAAGAATTACTATAATCTGCAGTACTCGAGTCCACCACTCTGGGCTGATTTTCGCTTATAAGAGATTGATTGGTCTGTTATTGGCTTTCACTCGGGGAATGCTAAGAGATTTGAGGCAAAACTGTGCTTCTGTGGAGTTGGAGCATTTGGTGATCTGATAATTGATTAGATTGAATGGAGCTTTATGGCATTGTTTTAGTACTGGTCTTTTGTATCTGATCCTTCCATTTGTATGCTTATGATATTTCCTCTTTTGGGTTTTGGTATATGCCATTGTTCATCTGCAGAATGTGAAGAAGTTCTCCCTAGCAAATGAGGCCAAGAAAGAAGCTGATGAGGTATCCCCCAAGAAAGGTTGAGTTCACACACTCTTGGCCCTTTGCCGGATCCATCTTTCGTTGTGGGGTGTATCAAGTTCATGTCTTTTCGATTCAAGGACTTCACTTGCTAGTCGCTAGTTGAGCTTTTGATGTCTGAAGAATCTTAGTTTCTGATTATTCAGAGGTGCTAAGTAGATTATGAAATTCTTCGATCTCGAATCTGACACTCATTGTTTTTGCTCTTTTGATGTTTCCTCACACAATGATGTAAAACTTTGAATGGTCAATTTAAGATGACCAGCTGATGAATATTCTATGGCCCTCTTAAGCTTGTTCTTCAGTTGTTGCTATCGACATTGTCTTCCAATGCCAGATACTGTCTGTTTCTCAGCAAATGAAACCATTAGTGTGGCACGAATTTGCTCCGAGTTTCATTCGCATCCGGGTCGCGTGCTGGTGCTGCAATGCTTTGATTCTTCAAGCAATGACAGTCCAGAACGATGCTGGGAAACTTTGACGAGAGTAATGAAAGGGACAGGAGTAGGAAAGAAATATAAGCCCACCAAACAAGATGATAACATTAGCAATTGCCACTGGAATCCCTCTCAACACACCCCACATTTGTTCTTCTTCTACTTCTTCACCAAATACGAAAGAGATCCCAACTTGTCCTCCATGATCAAAACAATAAATACACAGGCAAACCAGAGGACCACCTTAAAATACAGAAGACCAAGGTTCCAAAACCCAATTGACAAAGAAATGAATCACGAAATCAATTCATTCCTGCTCTTCATCATCATCTCCTCGTCTAATCTAGAAGCTGGGAGTCACATCTGCCGCATGAATCAGGTAAGTCAACACCAAAGCCAGCAGCATCAGCACATAAGCGATTCCTTGGTCAATCGACGTCCCTGAGAAAACCACCCAAAAATCAGAACCCACATTCTCAAATTCCGTCAAAGATCCGAACTTTGGACAAAACCCATCTCAGATCTACGACTGAAAGCGCCGGAGAAAACAAGGAAGAGAAATTTCCACTCACCATCGCTGGTGGCGACTGGGGCCGGAGCCGGCGCCATGCCCTGAGCCTGAACAGCAGCAGGCAACGCAATGGCGAAGATGAGTGCGACGGCGACGGCGGCAACTGCGACTCTCGAAACTGACATTTTAATTTTCTCGTTTCTGATCTGTTTTCTGTTTTCTCTCTTCTCCTCTCTCTGCGGAAACCAAAATGAGTTTTTTCTCTCAGCACTCTCCCACAGAAGCCAAATTCTGGAGAGCCGCGCAGAGAGAGAGAAGCCAAGGTCTCCTTCCTAAAGCCAAGGTCTTTTTCTTTGATGTTGTTGAGGGGACGAAGCTGGACACAAGCCGCGGCGTCGAGATTTATACCGCAGCTCTGTTTTTGCTGATTGATGAAAAACGGTACAGCCGGTTTGTCGTCGCCTGTACACAAAATTTAAATTTTAGTACCTTTTTTTTTTTGTTCGTTTTTATTTTCTCGTCAAATGGTGGGGCCCGCTGCCCATGTGACCGTTCTCGCGGCCGGGCACTTTTTTTCTTTCTTTCTTCTGTTGCCTTTTTTAAGGGTATGGGATTCCCGCCCTGCCGAAGGACAGTCTGTCCTTCGTCATTTTCTCGCGCCATATGCTGGCGTTCTGATTGGTCCACGTCATTTATGTGGATTAAGTTACAGTCCAGTTCCTTATTTTAACTTGCGTTAACTTTCAGTCCTTGAAGTATTTCCTTTTTTCTAAACCTGTATTTGTCTGTTTGTTTGTTTGCGTTGTAATTGTATGTATATGGAACTTTCCTTGAATTGTTTAAGAAGCTAGACAATCTGAGGAATACGAGGTTTGACCGAATAAGGAAGTGATATTAATGTGTAGGTTAAGGAGAAGAGGATTGAATTTGGGAACCAAAGATGCTTGTTCATGATGGGTTATTCATCTCCAAACTGAAAATTTGTTTTGGATGGTTTTGGATGATTCAAGGATACTAGAAGTCGCGAAGAAGGGATTTTGATACGAGGGTTAAAGTTTGCTGATACTTGTCTTGCCGTATGTTCTTGAAAGTGTGGATGGTTCGAGTCGTTTTAAAATAGATTTGGATGAAAAAAATAATGTATCGTTAATTTGAATGGCAAGATTTCGATGTACAGAGAGAAGTGATGAAATTTTGGCAGCTTAGCTAATTAGAAGAAGATTATGACACCTATATAACGTAAGAATGAAAATTTGGACAGCCAATGCCAACAAACATTCCCAGGATGGTTCAAATTTGTGTTTGATTTTGTTCTTGTTGAAACGGTTTAGAGAAAGAACTAAGAAGGTGACTTATAAGTTATAACTTAGCATGTCAACTTATGGATATTGTTAATTACTATATATATAATAATTGACTAGGCAAGGGTACAATATTGAATCAATAGTAAAAAAAAACAATATATAATATTCCATATTTTCGAATCATTATACAAAATTTGTTCTTTTTGACCACGTAACATTAATATTCAGAGAGTTTTTGTTTCAGTAAAGATTTACTAGAGAAATGAGACAGAAAGGTTAAACAAAATTAGCAGGGTTCTAATAAATTGGATATGGTATGGCAAATAAGTAGGCTTCTACTTTGAATTTTGAAATAGTAATAAGATAAATGGAGTGAGTAGCTCTTTGGTGACGAGTACTTGAATAATTCACTCATTACCACTATAACGAACTTGAAGATAATCTCTGGTCATGTTCATAGATAATATCATTAATATGAGTCATATTCTGCAGATTTTGGAGCAGGATTAGCTGTTCCTGCCTGGAAGGTGCATTGCACAGGTGGAAACTGGATTTTGCAAAGGTAGGTGGATTACAGATCACATATATATCGATATTGGATTTTATAATGATGGGGGAAAATGGGCTATGATTAATACTTATATGGAACTGTTTTAACAGAGTTGATCATGTTCATGTATGATCATTATGACCAAATGCCACAGGTAATTTACTTCTATATCTCTGGTAATTTTTACTGCTCTGAAGGCCAAAGAAAAGCTCCCATGGCAAACTTCCTCTTCTCATCAAAACCTCCAACAACAGGCAGGCCGTATTCCTTCAACAAGCAGTCCAGCCTCGATTCGGGCATCGTCTCGTAGTCGTTCTTCTTGAACCTCGGATAGTGGAGTGGCATCTGAAACTGAAATCCTGACGATGCTGATGAGCCCTTTTGACCAGCTCCCTTCCTTGATACTGTACTGAAATCGAAACCGGAGCAGCTTCTGATTGCATTCATGTCCAACAACATCTTCTCTTGCTAGAGATGATCAGTTTACAGCATTTGCTTGCTTGGTTTAGTTCCCGGTCCCTTCTGTCCTTTTATAGAGGTGGGAGGCTAGCTAGGTAGGAAGATTGGAGGGTAATCGAGAATTCGAGATGCAACTGCACAAGCAGAGAAGGCAAGGCTTCTAAAGAAGGGCAAATTTAATGCTCCTGAAAATGAAAGGGTTTGAGCTAGGAGGATCTGATGATATGCTCACTTCCCACCACCATGCTTTGAATCTGGAGTTACTTGACACACAAGTCAGTTGTCACGATCCGAGAATTAAATCGGACGTCATGGTTCTGGAATTGTATTCTGTTTCTATGGCTGGAAACAGTTTTTGATCTGATGAGTTGGTGTCTGCATTATCAGTTGCAGTATAGATAGGGGACCTGCCATGGATAACAACTCTTGACTTGGACTTGGGGCAACTGTTCTCTAGCTAGCTAGTACCACTCGAAGTGGTATTTATGATTCCCTCAGCCATCTGATTTCTTATCGTGTGGTACACGAAGCTCGGAAATGAACAAGTGATTGTGGTGTCTTCGCATTTCGCATACACCAGGCATCGAATCACAAATAGGCAGGCTGGACTGAGGGAACAGACGCAACACCGACCCCTTTCAACATTCAAAACGATTGCTATGACAGATGAAAGAAACCCTATTGTCATTCTTGAAGGAAACAATCGTTGTCGTCTTGCCACTGCCAATTCTGGGGAGCCCTTAATCAGAACAACAAGGACAGTCAGGCAGCTGAAAATGGAGAGCACAAATAAAATTTCGTGTTACATTCCTTGGTTTTCCTTCACAACTCACTGTACACTTTCTTTCGACTAATTCGCAGCAAAGAATGGAAGGCAAAACGACGAGGCGTGCCATGTACCATTAGCAATTACAGTTAGTTATGATGACAATATCATCAATGTTCATCCACATATAGACTAGTATGGTACTCTGTTGGTGATGAATCCCTCGCTTTGCTCAGTTCGTATCCCCAAAAAAGCTCTCAATATGGGCTTGTAAATTTCAGAGGCTTTACCAGTTCCGAAGAAAAATATTGCTTCTTATCTCGCAATGGAACATGAAGTGCCAACAACCGTCGCTGGTTTGGATGCTACTTGAAATGAGATGGTCACAAAAGCCAGTAGTTGTTACCTAGGTCAGAGTCTTTCAGGAATCGGTCCTTCGATCGATAGAAACTTCTTGTAGTTCCTCAGGAACAGGTTTGGGTTTAGGTGGCGAATCCACAAGAACGTGTGGAGGGGCAAAATACATGTGAAGTGACATCATACATATGATGATACCTAAGAAGAGCTGCAAAAATGACCCAACAGAAACCAGAATATATATTTATAGCCACAACACTAAGAAAAGAAAAAGAAAAATCAGTAGAAGGTAATAACTTCATCCAGAAGTACCTGAAGAGTAGGCTTGAACGAAAACAGGACTACTGATAAAACCATCGTCAGCAGCATTGCCATGGATGTGGAATATACCTAAACAAGACTTGTATATGGCAGTCAACTTTTGAAAGTGGAGAAGCACAAGATGAACAGACACAATCAGTTTCGAAAGTATTACCTTCACAATATTATCAGCATACTTCATCAACCATGAAACCAACAAACCAGTCGAGCCAAGATTCAAAACAACCAGAAACGTGGTTATGCTGTATCCATTAAAGAGACGCTGCCACCAAGGCCCCTTTTCAAATCCACTTTGGAAATCATCTACTATAAGCTTTGCCATGTTGAATAACACTCCAAACCTGGAAACAGACGATGATGCCCATAAAGTTAGCTATTGAAGGCAAAGACGTGTCACCCATGCTCCCAAATTGAAGGCCAAGAGTATGGAGATAAGTTCTGGGATGCAATAATAAGGTCAACCGTAAATGGTTTTAGAACACAGATCTAAAAGCCAGACAGATATTCCGTCAAGTTTTTCCTATGCGCAGCTTCTACTGCATGAAAGTATGACACTATGTATCAATGCCCAAACATAATTCTAGAAGAGGAAAGATACCTACGTATACAATTGCACATTCTGCCAGTACAAGCTGTCATTGTTCTTCTTCATTAGGAACTCTGTGTAAACACCAGCCAACGCTGAGAGGCAAGCAGAGAGAGCACCCAGCATGTAACCTGGAATTGGAGCTGAAAACAGAGATTCGCAGGAAGCTGCTCCACAACCCTTAACCTATTATGTTTGAGCACATGAATCATAATCCACCTCGCAAAAACTGTCCTAAACAACATTCTAGAGACAGCATATTTGGTACAAGTAAAGGAGAGCTACCTGGCTAGTGGTTGTTCCAACAGCCAACAGAATAATTGCCATCCATTGGAGATTAGACAGTTTCCTCTTAAGGAACAACCTTCAAATTGGGAAATAAGGAGATATGGGGAATTAGCTCTGCTAAGTTCTGAATCATAAAGGAAAGCTTCACAGGTGTAACCAGAAAAACATAAGTAAAGCAAGCACCTGAATAATATCCCAGTGGTGACAATCTTCAAATTGCCCATTATCTGATACGTGGAGGTGTCTACATAAGTGAGTGTAGCAAACTGAACATTGTTATGAATCAGGTATATGATGGACGGGATTGGATACAACCGCACAGTCTTCCATTCAGTGGTTATTCGCATCGACGGCGTTACCCGAAATTCTCGCCACAGAAGTAAACCAGATACCAGCAGCTGCAGTTAAACAAGACAAGAACCCTACCTTAAACAAGAACTAATTGCAGAACAAGCCCCTGGAGTAATAAGGAATGTTACAAATATAACGAACGAAAGGTTAATTAAAAGTGTCAAGAGCTACCTTGAATAATTCTGCTAGAAATGGAACGGTTGCATAATCATAGAGATAGCTTCCCTTAGTTTGAGACAGAGTAGTCAAGATTCCCTAAACATTATAAACCAAACACATTCAATCAGTTCACGAATTCCGCCCCCATACTTGAGAAGTTCAACTATCACAAGCTCTCTACTGGCGCTGCTGCCTGACATTGCTATGGCAGAATCTCTTTACTCAACCACGCCTGCTGAACAGAGTCATTTCTTGAGATCATGATCGATAGTACCATATGCAATAGGGATCCACATTCGAACAGGCGCCAAATGAAATCTCATGAAATCGGAACGAAAACAGGAACGCTAAAGAGCAATTCAGCTCCACTTCTAGCGGGAAAGTAAGAGGAAGGAAAGCGAATCGGCGAATTTGAATGCCGCCGATCCACGACGGAGATTGAAAGGGAAAGAAGGGCGGACGGAGGACGAGCTCGAGCGACTGACCTGAGAGCTAGTTAGAACGGTGAGAAGCACGGCGACGAAGTACCATTTCATCGTGCTACAGCGAGGGAGAACAACAGTCTTTGCGTTTGCTGTTTCTGTCACTCTATCGCACTCCTCCAGTAGTACTAGTCACTAGTCAGTCCGCCATTAACGTCTGCTGCTTTACAGTTCTGCCTTTTCCGCTAGGCGCTAGTAGCAGGTAGCAAAGCTTTGGTTTTCACCGCCAGATCTCCAAGAACCGGAGTAATTGTTGTTTTTTTTTTTTTTGGAAGTCGATAAAATTAAAATGGGCTTGGGCTGGTAAAGACCAATGTTCTATCTCTGAGCCCTGTGTTTTCGATTTGGGCTCCTCAGCCAAAATTGTTGGGCTTTATTTAGTTCAACTTACTAGTATTTTTGCCTGTGCTATTATGCGCTTGTGATTCTTTATCCCTTTATGGCGGGGTTTCCTCTTTGATTTCTTCCTTTTCCTTTTCTACATACTACAAGTAGTGATCACATTTATGATTTATCAAAGTAAGAGAAAGCCCCCTCGATTTTGATTCTTCCAAAGTTTGAAACATGAATTTCGGTCTCTTTCTTTTTGCCCCTCGATTTCGGTTCTTTCAAAGTTGAAACATAATATCAGGTAGTCTTAATAAGAAATTGCTCTTTATATCAGTATCTTAAGTTAATTGAATGTTAGAGCAATGATACACCTTAAAGTCTAAAAAGTAAAAAATAGATTCTATAGTTTAGTATTTATGGCCCCAAAGAATTCCTACGTACTGTTAACATGGTACGAAAAGAGGATTAGCAAAACGAACCCTGAAATTCAAATATGTGACCTCAAAGTTAAAAGAGTTAGCAAAACAAGTCATGAAATTCCAATAAGTGACTTCAAAATCGAAAACAATAATGTTATTACCTGTCAGCCTAAAATACACAATTTTACCTATTATTTATGAATGATATTTGGTTATTTACGAAAGAGGAAACTTGATGTTCAAGTTATTAACAATAAACTAATTATCTCCGGCCATTTTTTAAAAATCCTTACTAGCGGTCGTTCTCCACATAAACTAATAAAATAAAGCAACCGTGGCCGTCCCGCCGTCCCTTTTAACCGGGGTCACGTCCAAATAGTAACCACCACCATGACGACGTGTGATAACGGCCCCACGTTCGCCACCGTTCTCCAAAACGACGCCGTTCACCGGCACGCATCAGAGAAGAAACAGTTGCCGGGGAATGGAGAAGACGAAAGGTCCGTCGTAACTGCCAAAATGAAACCGAAACCCGCGGGAAAGGCTTTCCCCCCCTCTCTCTCTCTCTCGCTGAATATTTTTCCTCAGTAATGAAATCGTGGGAAATTTAGAGAGAGAAAAGAAAAGGGAAAAGTCCTATAGACCTCGGTGTCCCTCCTGCCTCTCTCTCTCTCTCTCTCTCTCTCTCTCTTCATTCTCTCTCTGCCGCCCTGAATTCCCACCTGAGATCAACAAAAAGCACCTGAAATCAAACTACCCAATTCAAAATTCGAAAACTTTCCGGCGATCAATCTCAGATTCTGTGATTCCGTTGGTGAAATTCCGCCATAACCATTGGCAGAGGGAGAAAACAGACGGGACAAAAAACAGATTGTTATTTTTTTGTAAGAATTCTGACGTCAGAAGACGAAAGAAGAAGAGGAGAAGCATTGAATTCTCCGTCAATATCCTCTGTTTTGGATTGTTTCTCAGGTTCCCTATTCCTCAATCTATCTTCCATTTTTGTTTTTTCCACCATGGTTAGAGGTCGGAGGAGGCTTGCTTCTCATTCATTCTGATCATCATCAGGTAATTAAACTGAAAGAGGGAAAGGAGGATTAGAGAGAGAGAAGAAGAGGAAGAGGGGTGGGCACCTTCATTCATGGCGGCTGCTGCTCTGTGCTGATTCATCAAGAAGCAAGAGCTTTTTGACTTCAGGTATGGATGTTGCCAATTTCCCGTTTTAGCAGAAGATCAACCATGGAAAACTAGGTTCTTGTTGATTAGCTTGTGCTTTACGTTTTCCTTCACGGCTTCTGTGATTCGCGTTCTTCTTCCAACGCTTCTGATCCCCTGAAGATTGATTGCCCCCACTCTGTTTTTTGCTATAAAAATGCTTGTATGAACTTCTTCCTGAATCCTGATATTCCTATTGCCCAGGTCGTGACGCTCTTTTGAGAATCCTTGTTGAAAGAAAGATCTCTCTAAACTTTGAAGCAAAACCTCATTGCTTCTTCGTTTAGAGAGGGCAGACGGAGAGATAGATCGACGAAGAAGCACCCATCGAGCAAAGAAATGGAGCAGTTCAGGCACGTAGGGGAAGTCCTGGGAAGCTTGAAAGCACTAATGGTGCTCCAGGACGATATTCAAATCAACCCGCGCCAGTGCGTTCTCCTGCACCAGATGTTCACCTCGGCATTCGACACGATCGCCGAGGAGATCAGGCACAACCTGACCCTGGAAGAGAAGAACACGAAGTGGAAGCCATTGGAGGAGCCGCTGAGGGAGCTGCACAGGGTGTTCAAGGAAGGAGAGCTCTACATCCGCCATTGTATGGACAACAACAAGGACTGGTGGGGGAAATCCCTCTCCCTCCACCAAAACAAAGACTCCGTCGAGTTCCACGTCCACAACCTGCTCACCTGCTTCCATGCTGTCGTCGAGGCCATCGAGAGCGCGGGAGAGATCTCTGGACTGGATGAGGCAGACATGAAGAGGAAACGAGTGATGCTGTCGAAAAAATACGACCGAAGCTGGTACGACCCCAAGCTGTTCCAGTGGAGATTCGGGAGGCAGTACTTGATCCCAAAAGAGATATGCTGCCAGTTCAAAGCTGCCCTGAGAGAAGACAAGTGGCATCTCATCGAGAAGCTGAAGGAGAAGAAAGCTTCCGGCTTGATTACGAAGAACGAGCATCGTGTTGCCGATCTGCTGCTGAAGAAGCTCAATAGCGTCGAGAAAGTTAACGGAAAGCTCCCACCGAGCTCGATCTTATTAGGAGCTGAAGATTACAAAGTGAGGAGAAGGCTAGGGGAAGGAAGCCAGTACAAGGAGATCCAATGGCTAGGGGAAGGATTTGCAATGAGACATTTGCAGCACGAGATTGAGCCTTTGAGCTCTGAAATATATGATCTAATGTCCTTAGCTCATCCCAACATAGTCCAGTACTTCTGTGGATTCTACGACGAGGATAAAAAGGAATGCTTTTTAGTAATGGAGTTGATGAGCAAGGATTTACATTCTTACATGAAGGAGAACAGCAGTCCGAGGAAAAGGGTTCTTTTGCCTCTCCCCATTGTTGTGGATATCATGCTTCAGGTTGCTAGAGGGATGGAGTACCTCCATTCGAAGAAGGTCTACCATGGAGATCTGAACATCACCAACATATTTCTCAAGCCGAGGAAAGCCACAGAGGGGTATTTCATCGTCAAAGTTTCAGGCTTTGGACTCGCGAGAGTGGAAAGCCAACCTCTGAGGCATGCTTCTGCGACCTCAGATGCAATCGATCCAACCATCTGGTATGCGCCAGAGGTGCTAGCGGAACAAGAGGCTACCGCTGCTGCAGCAGGGAACAATTCAAGGTTGAATAGCAAGTACACGGAGAAGGCCGATGTCTATAGCTTTGGAATGCTGTGTTTCGGCCTGTTAACAGGGAAGCTTCCATTCGAGGACGGGCATCTCCATGGTGATCAGATGATCAAGAACATTCGAGCTGGGGAGAGACCGTTGTTCCCATTTCACACACCGAAATACCTTGTGAACTTAACAAAGAAGTGCTGGCATAGAGATCCAAGCTGCAGGCCGAGCTTCTCCTCTATTTGTAGGGTTCTTCGATACGTGAAGAAGTTCCTGGTTATGAATCCTAGTGATGGACAGCCGGATATGCAGATGCCGCCTGTCGACTACACCGAACTGGAAGCTGGGTTTCTGAAGAAGTTCCCTGCTGAACCGACCTGCGATTCGAGCTCGGTTTCTCAGATTCCATTTCAGATGTTCGCTTACAGGCTGGCAGAGAGGGAGAAGATGACGTCGTCATGTGGTGTAAAGTTCAAGTCGACTGAGGCAGGGAATGAAGAGCCTCTTACCCTTGCAGCAGGTGAGGATCCAATTGTGTTGCCAGCAGCGGATGAACCGAAGATCGTAAATTTTGATGCGAAGTCCGTTTGTGTTGTGAATCCGGAGAAGATGACCACGTCGGATGCGAGGTCAGTGATATCGGAGCCGCCGAACAATGAAACAGTCCCTGCTGCTTCTGCTGCTGCTGCCGTGGCAAGAAAACCAGCCAATGTTAAGGTGAAGAAAGCTCCAGGTGGGTGTCTTTCTGGATCCATTCCCTGGTTTTATCGAACTCCGAAACTGTGATGTATTTTGATGTTTGTTGCACAGTGTTTGATGCAGGTGTTAAACCGAAAGTGAAAACTCCGGTGAGGTCATCGCCAGTGAGATCTTCTGCGACGTGGAGTCCAACTGGTCGGAAATTGAGGATGAATGCTGCAAAAGACAGTCCTAAGAGAACAACAATGAGTTCACAAAATCCAGGGAAAGGGGTATTATGAAGAAAGATGATGAATGCGCAGACGATTGATCAATAGTGTTACCTTTCTCTGGTTCACCATTTTTCCATCCCTCTCCTTGGTTTTTGTTTCTGTAGGAAGAATATGAATGAGTCAATCAAATGTTGTCAGAAAGGAGATAGAAGTGCCTCAGTGAGTGTTACCTGACTTTCCCTGTAGCAGTGTAATTTGATTTCTTCACGATAGAAGTGCCTCAGCAAGTGTTACCTGACTTTCTCTGTAGCAGTGTTACCTGGATTTGATTCCTTGTCATTTCAGGATTTCAGTAAGCTAATATGAAGAGCAAAAAAGTTGAGGAAAACAAAATCTAAAGCCAACAGAGATTGTTCCAAAACTTGCTTGTCATTCTTTATCAGGACAAGTCATGTCCAGTCACCAGTGTACATTATTTTGCACTCTTCTTTGAGACATTTACACAAACTAGAAAAACAAAGCAAAATATCAAACTCAAATACAAGGCTCATGTCAGTGGTGATATTCTTTTAGGTACAAACTCAATACAAGGCTCATTTCAGTAGTGAAATTCTGGTCCCAAATTATGGATACCATAAAGAAAAAGGGAGTCAGCATTCTGTACTGAGGCTGTATGCAACCAACTCTCTCCCCAATGGTCTGCAGATTACTCAGAGATTCTCATCTTCAACCAGA